TAAATGGCCAAAACTTTGCACTTTACAGAGCTCAGCTCAGCGCGAAAATAAGGAATTACTCAGTCATAAAAGTAACCAACAGGAAGTGGTGACAAAGACTTATATTCCTCTGTCTAACCTCAGTGTGGATACAAGGTCCCAAAGTCGCATTTTACTCCCCTATCCAACTCTTTCTATCAATGCTAATGTGGATTCGTTGAATGATATGGCTGCCCAGTCTTGTACATCAAGTTATGGGATACAGAGAAAAGGAGACTATAATTCAAGTCTTCATCAAAATCATCATATAAATGGAAGGCATGTATTAACGACATGGGATTCAAGTGGTAAGTTCCATGGAAGATAATTTGTCCTGATCAAATAAGTGTCTGACTTCCTGTTTTGTAGTAATCCTTTCTGACAGACACAGACACACACACACATACCGAAGAGCCTGATAGTTGAATTAGCAAATCAGTTCTGGAAACAGCTTTTATGTAGGACAACTTGTTGATTCAACTGACTGCTTGATCAGTCAGTCACCTAGATTTCCGAGAAGGTATTGTGAAATAAGTTTCGGTGGCTCTAAATTCTTTACTGTATCAACACCGAGGGAGTAAAATAAGCAGTATTATGATGAAAAAGAAATCAAGCAATATAATAGTGTGTGAAAATCTTCGATAATGTATATATAACTGTAGAGCCTGATGATGAATTTATCGAAAAGAGTACCCTTTGTTCAGTATCCATTCTTCTGATAATTTCATTCAGCTTATGAGAGCCAAATAGCATTCGTGTGCTGTCAGTTACTCCTGAACTGGGTAAATTGTTGATCAGTTTCTGCATGATAAGCACAGTGAAGACGACGAATAACAATCTTCATCATGTAGTAAAACCGTGAGTGACTTCTGCATGAGTAATCGCTCACAACCACATAAGTCAACTGATTTCACTACATTTTTGTTAGAAATCCATATCAGTTAAGCGACCACATAAAACTATCATGCTCTGTAAAGCTTTCTAGTTCTAAGTTTGAAATGCTTACCAACTTATAGCTATGAACGCTACCCGTGGGATATACGGTTCTACCGAGGTTAACAAGGGGTTGATTTCCCAATGACACCTGAGCGAAAACTGATGAGAGGTCTCTAACATGAAAGTAACAGTGTCCGGTTCTCCCGGATTTCCAATATTTATTGAGTCAGCACTATTTTATCACACAAACTCCACGTATTTTAGTCTTTAGGGATGACGATTAACACGGATAAATTGAAACTAAGCTTGGTTTTATTAGGCTGTATTTCCTACCAATTATGACTTTTATACGAGATGCACTTTGTATATTCTGTGGAGAGACAGCTGTTTCAATGTACTATAACTTTGTCCATGCTTCTGATCTATGTTGAAATTAACGAGATATTCCGTAATCCAGTAATGCTATGACTCCACATATTTGAGTCGAATGAAGTATACTACTTTGCAAATTTTAAGTAGGCCAACAGTTTTACACAATTATGAATGTGGGCTGAACGATGGTGGTAAAGACCTTTTATCATTTGTGTTTTAAGCTATCAGAAGTAAATACACAGTTTTAACTCTAACATATCAGTCCTCATGTCTACTTTGCATTCTTTATGTTAGCTGTTACGCAGGTTGTGGACACAGCGAGAATTAGGAACAGCAGTATCCCGGTAAGTGTACAGTTTTGAGATGATTATGTGCATAGGAATGTCTCAGATTAACCTGTAATCTTTTTAAAAATGGCAAAAACACATTTCCTCAGTAGGTCGACTTAAGATTTCAGACTTCCGAAATGATGAATTTTGGTTTTGAGAACTCTTTCATCTTCAATTCATCATTATATAAATGAGTTTTAAATTACTAAGGTGCTTAATATTAATCACTCGTGAGATAGGACGTAAACAGCAAAGAGAATTTTCTCTACGACGATTCATTTTCATGAGATGTACACTAGTAATTACATTTAAATAAGAAATCATTAGGCCGACTGGATACTGGTAAACTTTGTTCTCGAAACATCCATTACGTAATGTAATGTGCAGGCTTGAACGGATGACTAATTGAACGTTAGAAAGAGACAGAAGTTTGCATGACGTTAAAAAAAAAAAAAAAAAAAAAAAAAAAAAAAAAAAAAAAAAAAAAAAAAAAAAAAAAAAAAAAAAAAAAAAAAAAAAAAAAAAAAAAAAAAAAGGGGTTTCAGACGGAAGGATCAAACCCAGAATCTACTGATTGTCCAATAGATAAATTTGAGGCAGACCCGTCCAAAGGTTATGTGTACCATAAAGCATGAGATGAAGTAAGTTCGATTTGTCAAACATGTGCTAATATCTCGCCTATGAGATAATTTGCATTTAACAGCACTGAATCGCAAATCCCATCATTTCTACATTCATTCATCATGCATCACGAGAATTTTATTTGTAGAAAAAAGGAAATTCATAAGAACTTCGAATGAGATGTATTAAAATACTCTCCTTTTCGTTCAACCGAATATTATTGTTGTTAGTTTTCTTAGTGAAATAAAAGTATGGCATAGGTTTTTACAGTATTGTTTTCGCCGTATACAATAACAATCTACGATATTTACGACGTAAGTGTCTAGATGTAGGCGATGACATTTACACTACTTATCTAATCCAATCCAATCCACTCCACTCCACATGCACAGCAATAAATGCAAACGAAAGTGAATTTTTCTCCTGAATAATATGACTGAATTGTGTACTCCCTCTCCTCTCTCAAGTTTTCATCATCATAATAATTATACACACTGTTCACAACTTAATTATTTGGTATAGCATGCACACATCAAAATCCTCATTCTGTCTACAAAATACTCCATTATTAAGTAAGTAACTAAGTAAGTAAGCAAGTAAGTAGGTAGGTAAGGAGATATAAAAAACACTGAGGACTGGTTGATAAAAAGGTGAACTCTACCTACAAAAGATAAGTGTATTATTGTTTGTGTTCGAGGTAGGTTATTCGACTGACATTAGTATAAATGATATGTAAAACTGCCTTAGACTTGATAAAACTAAATGGAACAATAAAGTGGTTTCAGGGTCTCCGCCACAGAATGAAGGAAGCAGTTCCTGAATATCTTACTTACCTGAGTTCTACTACAGCTTTCGAAAGTTATTATGTGTCAAGCCTTCCATGTGAATTCAGAAAACATATAGATCTGCATATAAATTCATCAACCATCCCTACTTACTATCTTAGCAATCTACTTTTGTGAAACAGATGACTTCAGATGTATGATTTTCTCTTAATCCTATGTCCTGTTCTGACTCTTAAATTCAGGCCAACTATTCCGACAAATCCCGAATGTGACAAAGTGTATGTTGAAATTATACTTGATTATGATAAATGAGGAATCCACCCAAAGTGAGCAAACCACAGATGTATGGTAACACTCTAGTCGCTTAGTAATACTAGTTGGAAATCCCTGCCGGTGAGAATAATTCTGATTGTAGAAAAACATAGGAACTGCTGAGTGGTGGGATGAATACTAGGATACTGCTTCAGATTCAGCTTATAGCATCTGATGAAATACCACGACACTAACTCACAAAGTACACAGAACACAGCTCTGATATTTTTTACAGGATTGACTGATTAAGTAGAAATGCCACGAGACATACCTCGTGAAGGAGTGAGTTCTGAATAGAATAAATCTCTGATTACCTTTTCAACTGACTTATGTCCGTCATATTCGCAGTTCGATTTTGTATAAAGGGTGGAAGTATTTGAGCGCTACATGAAAACACTAGTGAATAAGTTCAACACATGCAATCGAAACCATAACTCTATAGTAAAACCTGAAGAAAATAACAAGATTCTCTGCTGAATTGAATTCAGAGGACTGCAACAGTCACCATGACAAGAAAGTTAGCCTAATGATATGTACACTTTGTGCATTATGCTTTTTGTTCGCTGTTTCACTGATCACAACATCTACAGTTTTTCCTCTTTCTGTTTACAGACTGAAGACCTTCATCAGAAGACTAAGAGTCTTTACGACCAAATCTCCACAATGTCAGCTGAGGTATCACTAAGAGTGAGTTTAAACCAGCACTTTTTATCTCTTAGTTTAAAACAGTAAACTGGTGTAGTGACTGAAGATGAAAAAATCCTAAGTGGCAAAGGGATACAAACCTATGATGTTTGACTTATTAACTTTAGGCTTTACTGACTACTCAAATACGACTGACTTCATCTACAACTCAGAATCACTTCAACCACTAGTTGTCATACCTAATTTCCGAGTTCTTGTTGTTCTTTACAAAAGAAACAAAACAATGCATTTGAAGGTTCAGTTCAACGACTGTTGCAGTAATTGCTTCTACTCAACTACTGAATCTTTCTGACTACCAAGGACGGGCTTTAAATTATATAGAAATTGTTCCTGAAAACTCATTTTAGTTGCCTTCACTTCATGTATACACAGTAATAAGGTGTCAGTTAGCAAACTACTTCACTTTAGTACACATCTGACACATGATCATGAACTTATTAGCAATAGATTCATATTTACGAATCGGTTTAATGATTTGACTAGGTAATAGATCGACTGTCTGCATGGCTACTTGGCTGGCATATATTCCTAGAAACATACATCATATATAAAACCATATAATGTTACGCCTAATAATGCACTTTAAAAAGAGAAATGGAAAGGAAAAACCTAGATCTGTGAAAAAAGACAGTCTGACCAATAGAACAGACTGTTTACTGATTGGATAAGTCATGGTTGCATAGGGAATAACAGTGAATATTCATTTGTTAAGGAAATAGTGTGAATGGCCACACCAAGTAACACAGACACACACATATAAATACATCTTTATCTTTGCACACATTTCCTGTCTCACTTGAAGGAACAGTAAACAAGGGAGTGTCGCATTAGTTAATTAGTTATCTCTGAAGTGGAATTTATTACATAATCATCAGTATCCCAGTAAGACATTCTGAGGTATTCAGGTGAAAATAATCTGTGTAATGGAGAGATTTTATCCAAATTTCTATTCTTATACGAAATCTCACTACGAACCATTGGTTTCAAGTCTACTAACAAGATGTGAATCAGAGCGTGGTGCTAAACTGCAGAGTAACTGTAATGATAATGATGACAGTGAGGAGAAACAATATAGCTGGTGTAGTGAAAGACAAAATACGAACATGAATGAAGTCACTGAGCAACAGAATTCTCTCACATCCCCTAATATGCCTCGACAACGAATACAAAGTGTGGATAGAGCAAAAATGTCACGTGGTCAACTAGCAAAATGGACGCCGACAGATTCGCAAAGATGGGCTCGTGAAATTTCAGACCCTCCAGACCGTGAAAAATCAACTAAAGATGAAGATCGGACTGGTTCAGTCTTCACCGGATCTGTACAGTCATTTATATTGCCGTTTACTAGAATTAATGAATACTTAACACCGGGAATTAACGCTAAATATCATAACCACTCTAGAACTTTCGAAAGTGGAATCAACTATCTGAGCTTAGTTTCCCATAATGATGTTCGATGTAACATCATTCCAAACTGTCAGCATTTTCCTGATTTAATGTCAACATCTTTAACAAAGACAAACTCACCAATAAAACATAAGTCAAGATCACTACGTAAGCATTCGCATGAAAAAACACTGCCATGTTCAAGTCAGGACGATAAAACACTCATGACATTAGATTCAAATAATGTGTTCATCAATCCAAACGAGTCCAAATTACAGACTGTGACGAATCAGAAAAGTATACCGCGTTCTAGAAGATTACCGTCACCATGTGTCCGCATGAAAACACTAGAAAGGGATACAAATTATAATATATCTCTCGGAACAGGTCAAAACGCAAGCTCCTCAAACTATGATCTTCGACCAAAGCGATTAATAGAAACAGAACGCATGGTTAGACAAGAATTAGCGTCTGCAAAACAGAAATCAGAAACTTCAAATAGCAACAATGGCATAGACAGAGAAGATCGGAAATCAGAGATGCAGAATTCCACGACACCTCTGAAAAAGTCGAGTTCTAGTGAGAGAAGACAAACAATTTCTCCAGACTCAAATACACCTGAGAATGTTTTAGGAGAAAAAAATTCGTGAAACCGACTTATCCAGAGGATTGGACAAAACTCGAGTCCTAAGGAATGGTGATGATTTAATCAGAGATGATGCAGATTCGAAGGTAATTCAATTGAGTTTCAAGTGTGCATGCAATTACTTTGTTCCGCTATCTGTCTTTTGCTTTGCCATAATGCATTCTGTAAGACTCGGAGTTTACCCATTCGGCTACAGTGGAAAACGACAGAGGGGGATTAAATATATGCCTAGAAATGTATTAGTATAAACAGTTTTATAACGTGTAAGTATTGACAACATACAATGCTCTTCATTGATATGCTTGTTAAATATACGTGAACTTGTTAGGGTAGAATAAATCATTATACAATTGGTGGATGGTGGCTAGCAGTGGAATCCAGGATGCGCATTTCGTCCTATTTGGGACTCGTCAGCTGGATGTACCTGCATTTCTCAGTGAGTGATGATGTTCCCACCGAGGCTCGCACCCAGTGCCCATAGTTTCAAACGCCAAAGCGTTATCCACTAGACCACTTGGGCCACGAGAGCCACCTCTTGTGCAACGGGTCATATTAATTATTGAATTGAATTTTTTGATTTTCCCGTCGATTGATTGGACCGAAGTGCTCGGTCTCAGGTTGACATGTCGGCTTCTTGTGCAGATGCTTCGACGATGTCTGGGTATTTAATTAGTATACAATTGGTGGATGGTGGCTAGCAGTGGAATCCAGGATGCGCATTTCGTCCTATTTGGGACTCGTCAGCTGGATGTACCTGCATTTCTCAGTGAGTGATGATGTTCCCACCGAGGCTCGCACCCAGTGCCCATAGTTTCAAACGCCAAAGCGTTATCCACTAGACCACTTGGGCCACGAGAGCCACCTCTTGTGCAACGGGTCATATTAATTATTGAATTGAATTTTTTGATTTTCCCGTCGATTGATTGGACCGAAGTGCTCGGTCTCAGGTTGACATGTCGGCTTCTTGTGCAGATGCTTCGACGATGTCTGGGTATTTAATTAGTATACAATTGGTGGATGGTGGCTAGCAGTGGAATCCAGGATGCGCATTTCGTCCTATTTGGGACTCGTCAGCTGGATGTACCTGCATTTCTCAGTGAGTGATGATGTTCCCACCGAGGCTCGCACCCAGTGCCCATAGTTTCAAACGCCAAAGCGTTATCCACTAGACCACTTGGGCCACGAGAGCCACCTCTTGTGCAACGGGTCATATTAATTATTGAATTGAATTTTTTGATTTTCCCGTCGATTGATTGGACCGAAGTGCTCGGTCTCAGGTTGACATGTCGGCTTCTTGTGCAGATGCTTCGACGATGTCTGGGTATTTAATTAGTATACAATTGGTGGATGGTGGCTAGCAGTGGAATCCAGGATGCGCATTTCGTCCTATTTGGGACTCGTCAGCTGGATGTACCTGCATTTCTCAGTGAGTGATGATGTTCCCACCGAGGCTCGCACCCAGTGCCCATAGTTTCAAACGCCAAAGCGTTATCCACTAGACCACTTGGGCCACGAGAGCCACCTCTTGTGCAACGGGTCATATTAATTATTGAATTGAATTTTTTGATTTTCCCGTCGATTGATTGGACCGAAGTGCTCGGTCTCAGGTTGACATGTCGGCTTCTTGTGCAGATGCTTCGACGATGTCTGGGTATTTAATTAGTATACAATTGGTGGATGGTGGCTAGCAGTGGAATCCAGGATGCGCATTTCGTCCTATTTGGGACTCGTCAGCTGGATGTACCTGCATTTCTCAGTGAGTGATGATGTTCCCACCGAGGCTCGCACCCAGTGCCCATAGTTTCAAACGCCAAAGCGTTATCCACTAGACCACTTGGGCCACGAGAGCCACCTCTTGTGCAACGGGTCATATTAATTATTGAATTGAATTTTTTGATTTTCCCGTCGATTGATTGGACCGAAGTGCTCGGTCTCAGGTTGACATGTCGGCTTCTTGTGCAGATGCTTCGACGATGTCTGGGTATTTAATTAGTATACAATTGGTGGATGGTGGCTAGCAGTGGAATCCAGGATGCGCATTTCGTCCTATTTGGGACTCGTCAGCTGGATGTACCTGCATTTCTCAGTGAGTGATGATGTTCCCACCGAGGCTCGCACCCAGTGCCCATAGTTTCAAACGCCAAAGCGTTATCCACTAGACCACTTGGGCCACGAGAGCCACCTCTTGTGCAACGGGTCATATTAATTATTGAATTGAATTTTTTGATTTTCCCGTCGATTGATTGGACCGAAGTGCTCGGTCTCAGGTTGACATGTCGGCTTCTTGTGCAGATGCTTCGACGATGTCTGGGTATTTAATTAGTATACAATTGGTGGATGGTGGCTAGCAGTGGAATCCAGGATGCGCATTTCGTCCTATTTGGGACTCGTCAGCTGGATGTACCTGCATTTCTCAGTGAGTGATGATGTTCCCACCGAGGCTCGAACCCAGTGCCCATAGTTTCAAACGCCAAAGCGTTATCCACTAGACCACTTGGGCCACGAGAGCCACCTCTTGTGCAACGGGTCATATTAATTATTGAATTGAATTTTTTGATTTTCCCGTCGATTGATTGGACCGAAGTGCTCGGTCTCAGGTTGACATGTCGGCTTCTTGTGCAGATGCTTCGACGATGTCTGGGTATTTAATTAGTATACAATTGGTGGATGGTGGCTAGCAGTGGAATCCAGGATGCGCATTTCGTCCTATTTGGGACTCGTCAGCTGGATGTACCTGCATTTCTCAGTGAGTGATGATGTTCCCACCGAGGCTCGCACCCAGTGCCCATAGTTTCAAACGCCAAAGCGTTATCCACTAGACCACTTGGGCCACGAGAGCCACCTCTTGTGCAACGGGTCATATTAATTATTGAATTGAATTTTTTGATTTTCCCGTCGATTGATTGGACCGAAGTGCTCGGTCTCAGGTTGACATGTCGGCTTCTTGTGCAGATGCTTCGACGATGTCTGGGTATTTAATTAGTATACAATTGGTGGATGGTGGCTAGCAGTGGAATCCAGGATGCGCATTTCGTCCTATTTGGGACTCGTCAGCTGGATGTACCTGCATTTCTCAGTGAGTGATGATGTTCCCACCGAGGCTCGCACCCAGTGCCCATAGTTTCAAACGCCAAAGCGTTATCCACTAGACCACTTGGGCCACGAGAGCCACCTCTTGTGCAACGGGTCATATTAATTATTGAATTGAATTTTTTGATTTTCCCGTCGATTGATTGGACCGAAGTGCTCGGTCTCAGGTTGACATGTCGGCTTCTTGTGCAGATGCTTCGACGATGTCTGGGTATTTAATTAGTATACAATTGGTGGATGGTGGCTAGCAGTGGAATCCAGGATGCGCATTTCGTCCTATTTGGGACTCGTCAGCTGGATGTACCTGCATTTCTCAGTGAGTGATGATGTTCCCACCGAGGCTCGCACCCAGTGCCCATAGTTTCAAACGCCAAAGCGTTATCCACTAGACCACTTGGGCCACGAGAGCCACCTCTTGTGCAACGGGTCATATTAATTATTGAATTGAATTTTTTGATTTTCCCGTCGATTGATTGGACCGAAGTGCTCGGTCTCAGGTTGACATGTCGGCTTCTTGTGCAGATGCTTCGACGATGTCTGGGTATTTAATTAGTATACAATTGGTGGATGGTGGCTAGCAGTGGAATCCAGGATGCGCATTTCGTCCTATTTGGGACTCGTCAGCTGGATGTACCTGCATTTCTCAGTGAGTGATGATGTTCCCACCGAGGCTCGAACCCAGTGCCCATAGTTTCAAACGCCAAAGCGTTATCCACTAGACCACTTGGGCCACGAGAGCCACCTCTTGTGCAACGGGTCATATTAATTATTGAATTGAATTTTTTGATTTTCCCGTCGATTGATTGGACCGAAGTGCTCGGTCTCAGGTTGACATGTCGGCTTCTTGTGCAGATGCTTCGACGATGTCTGGGTATTTAATTAGTATACAATTGGTGGATGGTGGCTAGCAGTGGAATCCAGGATGCGCATTTCGTCCTATTTGGGACTCGTCAGCTGGATGTACCTGCATTTCTCAGTGAGTGATGATGTTCCCACCGAGGCTCGCACCCAGTGCCCATAGTTTCAAACGCCAAAGCGTTATCCACTAGACCACTTGGGCCACGAGAGCCACCTCTTGTGCAACGGGTCATATTAATTATTGAATTGAATTTTTTGATTTTCCCGTCGATTGATTGGACCGAAGTGCTCGGTCTCAGGTTGACATGTCGGCTTCTTGTGCAGATGCTTCGACGATGTCTGGGTATTTAATTAGTATACAATTGGTGGATGGTGGCTAGCAGTGGAATCCAGGATGCGCATTTCGTCCTATTTGGGACTCGTCAGCTGGATGTACCTGCATTTCTCAGTGAGTGATGATGTTCCCACCGAGGCTCGCACCCAGTGCCCATAGTTTCAAACGCCAAAGCGTTATCCACTAGACCACTTGGGCCACGAGAGCCACCTCTTGTGCAACGGGTCATATTAATTATTGAATTGAATTTTTTGATTTTCCCGTCGATTGATTGGACCGAAGTGCTCGGTCTCAGGTTGACATGTCGGCTTCTTGTGCAGATGCTTCGACGATGTCTGGGTATTTAATTAGTATACAATTGGTGGATGGTGGCTAGCAGTGGAATCCAGGATGCGCATTTCGTCCTATTTGGGACTCGTCAGCTGGATGTACCTGCATTTCTCAGTGAGTGATGATGTTCCCACCGAGGCTCGAACCCAGTGCCCATAGTTTCAAACGCCAAAGCGTTATCCACTAGACCACTT